TTGACTGGACTGCAAGCTGGGTGGTTCTCTGTCGCGAACTGGCTCTTCGGGGCACCTGAGCCTGCGAGCGGGCCTGACCGCCAGCTACTTCGGCAGAGATGTTGCGAGAATCTCTCGAACCGATATGAGGTTTGCAGCACCGACACTTGCTAACCCTGGGCCCCTTAGGAGCTTGTCGAACTCTTGCCAATGCCAAGCTCCTTTAAAGGGCACTAAAAAATGTTCGGGACTGTTGGGCCCCTGGCCCTCTCGTTCTCGATCTTTGCCCGCACCGTCGGCACCTGGGGAGGATTTTTTAAAGTGAGGTTCGGAGTTCAGAGGGCGCAGGGGCTCCGACTCCAAGCTATGGTGTGGATCTTCGGGAATATTCATATCTATATCTCTTCTGTATCTATATGTATATATATATATATATATGGGTAGTTCTCCAAATTAGGGTCCCTTTTTAGGTCCCCAATATAGTACGGCAGACCCTAAAAGGGACCCTAATTTAGAGAACCACCCATGTATATATATATATATATATATATATATCCTATATACATATATATATGTATATGTAACTATGTGTCAGGGAGGCTCGGGGCTCGAGGAGGCTTGAAGTAAACTTTTTTTAAGCGGTGGCTTCTCGACGAAAGTCTTGATCCCCTCGACTCCATGGCACACTGAGTCCACAAAGCTCAGACAGGACCCCCCTAAACCCTAAACCGGACCACCCAGCCTCAACGAACCTAAAGCGCGGGGGTTCAAACACCCGGAAAAGCCCGCAGAACTCACAACCCCCAACCCTAGATCCTGGACTACATCCTACAGCCTTTGAGAAAGCCCATGAAACTCTTGTTTGAAAAGCAAAAACCCAAAAATCCTGACAACAAACCTGGTATTAACACGACAGACAAAGATTAAGCCCCTCAGAGAAGGGAAAAAACAAAAGCTGCAGCCGGACCTTTCACTTCTGAACGCACCGCACACTTCTTAGCAAAGTCCCCAAAAAGCAGAGCTTCCCGGGAGCCCCGGCGGTGTCCGCGGGCAAGGATCCCGGCTCGGGCCACTGTCTAGGCCTTGATGCGCGTCGTGTGGCTGATGAGGGCTGGAGGGTTTCAGGACTTGCACCGGTCGGTCGGTCGAATCCATGACTTGTGTAAGTCGTGTAGTTGTCGTTGTGTCTTTCTTGTGGTCGTCGTCGTTGTTGTCGTTCGTGTTGGCCGTCGTCACAGTGGCAGCAGCCACAGTCCGCTCCAGCAACAGCAGTAGCAGCAGGAGCACGAGCCGCAGTGTAGGGATAGCAGTTGTCGTCCTCGTCCTCGTCGTCGTCGTCACAAGACAGACATCAAGTCTCTGCAAAAACCTGTCTCCTCTTGGCCCTCCGGCGGAGGCCCTCCCGGGCGAACAGGTGCATACTGCGGCGTCTCCCACGCCTTGGGTCCCGGGGTGCAGGGCTGCAGGGATGCAAGGGCTGAAGAGAGTTGAATGAAGAGCTGGAGTCTAAATTCAAGGGTTGGGATCTGCTGGGCACGTCCCATGCAGAGTCTACAGCAAGGCCTGATGAGCTCATGCATGCATGCTGGCCCATAGAAATGTTGAGGGTTAAACGTTTCGTGGGCAAGTGATGACGTGTGGCTCGAGCCTGCTCACAACTGAACACCCTGAACGTTGAACTAAGTCACCAAGGGGTCTGAATTTCCACAGACACTTGAACACCTTCAGCCGCTACAAACCGAGAAGGCCAGCAGCTCAAACCGCTGGATTGAAATCCTCAAGAGGCACCTGCAAAACTTCATGACGAGTTAATGTGGCGGCCCTAATAATATCTTGGGATCGAATAATGCGTTTTTTTCTTATTCAAGCCGAGACCAAAAAATTGACCGGCTCAAATAATGCGTTTTTTTTTTCGGGTTTTTTTGGGGTGGGTTTCCTCC